GGAGCATGGAGCGGTCCGGAGTGCCTAAGAACCCCCTCCAGATGCACGGGACTGCCTGAGCCCGCTGGGGCGGAAATCTTGCTTTCTTCTGAGATTTCTAGAAATCCCTTCGGACCATTGGACTGGCAAGTACAGACGGGGAAAAAGGAGGAAATCCTGTGGGTGCATGGATACCGGCGTGCACACACACAGGTCAGTCATTTGATTTAAGCCGATTCATCGCTTCTTAATCCAGGCCAACTCTCCCCAGGGCACCTTCTTCCCTACACTTTGTTGCACACAAACCAACAGCCTCGCAACCACGAGCCACCCTACAATAACAAACCAGGGTCTGCATGCGTCACCTGTGCGCTCCGGAGCAACGCTACGACAGCGACACACGGCACCTCTAGCAGCTCCCTGGCGCATCCCACCAGCCACCCTACAACGACAACCCGGGAAGTGCAACCACCCAACCCAGACCCACAACGCAGGCAAACAAACTTCCAGTGCGGAAGGAAGCGGATTTGCCTTTGAACTTCCAAAGCGGCTGCTGTTAGAAGCAAGAGCGAGGATTTTCGATCACGCTATTAAGACCGTTCTCTCGCTGCCTCCTTTCCAGCTGGCAAAGGGGCACAAACCCGTGCACCACAGAGCCCCTGATTGGAAAGGGGAGGAGATCGGGAAGGGACCCTCGCCTCCCCCCGACCCCAGAGCTCAGTCCTGCTAGCTGCCCTGTGCCTCGAGGTTCTCCTCTCTGGGGTTATTTCCTGGTGCAGCGGGGAACACAGGAAGCCGGCATTGTTACAGCCTGAATAAGCTTTTCCTTCTCGGCAGAGCCATCGGAAAATGAGCACAGAGCAGGGGTGCACCTGACCGCCCTGATAACAGGGACTTGGCCGGGCCAAAGAGCTTGCGGCTCGCTGCCCGGTGACTTCACCTCTCCACAGATCCATATCAGTGTGGCTTGAATTGCACCGGGGTCTGCCAGCTCATATCCTCCCCTCCGTCCGTGCACGTGTTCGTCCGCCATTATACACATGCCTCGGGCAACACGTGGGAGGAGAGAGAGAGAGAGAGAGAGAGAATGGCCTTCCATAGCTGCAGCCCCATCCAGCCTACAGCAAAACCTTTCCCACTCCCTGATGAAATGCAGCCACCTCTGAGGTGGAGCGGAGCCGCTGTTAAACAGCTACACCCAACACCCCTGTTTAAGTCAGGAAGCAGAGAACGCCTGCTCCAGCTAGAAGAACAGAAGGAATTTAAGTCACAAACATCCCCACCCCCGCACAGAAAGCATCTTTAATGAGCACAAGGTCTCAGGCCTGAGTCTCATCCAAGAGGAAGCACCGCGCCCATTGGCATTATACGCAGCCCGGCACGGACTCCGAAAGGCAAACCGGGAAGTACCCTGTGCCGAATGGGTAACGTTACTGGCTGCGGTACCAGGGTACCTCCACCTACTCACTGTATTCCAGCAACATGTTTAGAGGGCTCGAGCGAGATCCACGTGCCACCGCGCTAGGTGCAGTACATGCATAGAGTAAGAGAACGTCCTCGCCCTGCTGGCAATCGATCATCGACACAGCCACAAGCAGGATGTGATCCCCAGAGAGACTAAGTGACTGGGCCAAGAGCCTGTGGCAGGACCAGGAATTTAGCCCTGATCTCCTGAATCCCACTCCAGGGCCTTACCCACCAGGCCAGGCCAGGGCCAACCCAGCCTGGCTAGTGCAGTCGGACATGATCCCGCCCAGGGTGGGCAGCGCGACATGCGCACAGCTGCTGCGGGACCCAGGCCCCATGGGCGGCACATCCGGGCCCACGGCGAGTGCCAACAGACCCTTTCTTTTTAACCCTGGCCCTGGGTTTCTCACTAACCAGGACCTGCACTTGCTGAACGCAGATTTCTCTTTCCTCCCCTCTGGCCAAGAGAGCGAGGAAATCTCCAGCCAAAAGGCTGCCAGCCAATCAGCGTGTGCCACTGGCATCTGGAGGGGGGTGGCTGGGGGATCATGCCCTGGGCAATGCCAGCTTTGGAACTGCCACCAGCTGCTTGGGACAGCTGTCGGGCTGGAGTGCTGGGAATGATGCATATGTCAGGGTCAGCTAAGCTCCAGCCCTCTAGCCTAACAAATGCAGAAGTTAATAGCGCCATCTACTGGTGGAAGGATAGTATCGGGTTCTTCTTTATTTGCATCTTCTTACCCCAGGGCATTATGGGAGAAGAGGACAAATCACTCTTATTGTTTATGCCGACTATGTCAAGTTGAGATGCAGGTGAACAGGTGACTGATCCTGGAGGTTTTTTTAGGTAGGCTTTGATTGGGGTGGGTGGATAACAGTTAAAACGGGGTCACCACAACATGCAAAGTCCTGGGAAGAAGTTTCCAGAGGTGCTGTAGGGAAGTAATGGGAAGTGTGTGTGACTGTGCAGAAGATTGAGGAGAGGAGGGAAGGGAAGTCAAGTCAAGTCTTGTTACTTTAGAGATCTGCTCACTCATTTTATTATTCCCCTAGGTGTATAAAGCCCCTTTGCTGTGGGACCTCTTTGGACACAGGCAGCAGGAGGCTGCTGGTGACAACATTTTTCTAAAGACGGGAAAAAACCAAGACTTGCACAAGGGAAGGAACACGCTGCTAACGCCTGCCTCGTTATAAACCAGCACTCACCACTCCCCTCACTCCCGGGGCTCCGCTGTCCCCGGCGGCCGGAGCACCACGCCGCCCCCCTCCAGGTGCCGCCCCAAGCACAAGCTTGGTGGGCTGGTGCCTGGAGCCGGCCCTGCTGCTGGCCACGTAGTCACTGATGGACAAGGGGAATTACCCACCCCAGTCCCCAGGGTCCGGCCCCCCAGTGCCCAGTGAAGGCTGGGCATGGCCAAGATGGTTCTTAGGGGCTGAGCAGCTGGGAAGATCCCTAGGGGACGGGGGGGGGGGGTGGGTCCACG